TAGGGCAGGGTGGTGGTTTTCAGTTGGGCATTGGTGGGGAGGGGGGGGGACTTAATAAAGCATTCCATCATATTCAAAGTAATGTGGACAACGTGACATGGTGGCCAATAAAATAAATAAAACACACAATTGTCTGGTTGGTTCTTAAATATTTTAGGCTATTTCCTCTTTGTTTTCCTCTCTATTACTCCTAAATTAAGTTTAAACAAATCAAAGCTCAGGTTAGTTGTTACTTTTAAAGTAACCAGAATGCTGTTTACAGCTAACCAGAAGCCTTTATTTGGATTTCTCCCTTTGAAAAAATGTAATTTCAGTGTTTTACTGCTCAGTGGATCAACAAATTTGCATTCAGGGCCCATTTCTGACCACTTTCCACCACAGGATCTGCACAAATATCAGAGTAGCTTCTCTTCAAACCACCCCAGAGGCTGGACATGGCCCCAGTATCCAAAGATCTTCTCATTTCCCGCCCTTAATCAAACCCAACATTGATTTTTGTCAGTAGGCAGAGTTCAGGTTTCCAAACTCTGCAAATCAAAATGGAAAAGTGATCAATGAAATGAATATTTTCTGGAGGCTTGAGGCAGCAAGGAAAGAGGAAAATACGAGGGTTATCAAAAATATAACTGAACAGAGTGGAGTCCTCAAATAAAAGTACTAATGAGTCAAACACAGTTTTAGGTAAGAAGTTACTGAAGTAACTTTTGTGATTAATGCAGACTGACTAACCCACCGAGATAAAAACAGAATTTTACCGGCAGGATGATGCAAACCACCCAGTTTGATGTTTACGCACAAACATGAACGCAGCACCCTTTCTTAACTGTTTATGTCAGTGCAGCTGACTGTCAACAACCTGCCCCCCCCCCCCCCTACCCCCACCCACACGGTGCACAACAGTGTTTACCAGAACCATCCACCGCCCCCTCCCCCCCGGAAGCCAGAGGTTCCTGGCCGGTGGAGACGTGATCCGGGCTGGGGGCTTGTGACCCGTCAGTGGGAGCCCTGGCCGGCTTCCACCCCCCCCACCCCCCGCCACTGGATCCGGGAGGTGTCAGGCCCCAAAATAGCCCGAGGTGGAGTATAAGAGGAGCCCGGGGGAGGCCGGGCGTCCAGAGGAGAGCAGATCCACCGCAAAGCCAGAGAGCCACGCGCAGAAGACCCAATCCATCCAAAAACCAGAAGACCCCATCCATCCAAAAACCAGAAGACCGCATCCAGCCAAAAACCAGAAGACCCCATCCATCCAAAAACCAGAAGACCCCATCCATCCAAAAACCAGAAGACCCCAACCATCCAAAAACCAGAAGACCCCAACCATCCATCCATCCGACCCCCGAGACTCAGACCGGACCTGAACATCCACGATGAAGTACTACGAGTGCCCCGTGCCCCAGCCCCGGGGGATCAAAGCCTACAGCGCGAGCTGCGCCGTCCCCGCGAGCTGCGCGCGCGCCGCGTCCCTGAAGCCCGTGCGCAGCGTGCACTTCCCCAACGACGTGCTGTTCCAGGACTACGTGCGCCACGGAGAGCTGGAGCGCATCGGCCGGTTCATCCGGGCCCAGAGAGTCGCCCTGGACACCATCTACCACTCCGGGGAGCCCCCCCCCCCTAACCTCCCAAATCCGGCCTGAGAGCCTGTTTGGCTAAGCGGCGTCTTTGCGCGTGTGTGTGCGCAGGCATGGCAGCCATCCACGAGGCCGTCCTGTCCGGGAACCTGGAGTGCGTGAAGCTGCTGGTGCACCACGGGGCGGACATCCACCAGCGGGACGAGGAGGGCTGGACCCCGCTGCACATGGCCTGCAGCGACGGGTTCCCGCACATCGCACGGTGAGCACGCGCGCACCGGCCGCGTAAAGCTGCGCGTCTACTGCGTGAAGTTGCCCATATACTGCGTAAAGTTCCATGTATACTGCGTAAAGTTGCACGTATACTGTGTAAAGCTGTGCGTATACCGCGTAAAGTTGCTGTATACCGCGTAATGTTGTGTATATAATGCGTAAATTTGCGCTTATACTGCGTAAAGTTTCCCCATATACTGCGTAAAGTGGCGTGTATACCACGTAAAATTGCGTGTATAGCTGCATAAAGTTGCGCATATACTGCGTAAAGTTGCACATACTGCAAAAGGTTACGTGGTTACCTAGTAAAGTGGCGCGTATACTGCGTAAAGTTGCGCCCATACTGTGTAAAGTTGCATGTATACTGCGTAAAGTTGAGCCTATAGCTGTGTAAAGTTGTGCGTATACTGCACAAAGTTGCGCCAATAGCTGTGTAAAGTTGCCCATATACTGCGTGAAGTTGCGTATAGCTGCGTAAAGTTGTACGTATACCGCGTAAAGTTGCTGTATACTGCGTAATGTTGTGTATATAATGCGTAAATTTGTGCTTATACTGCGTAAAGTTGCGAATATACTGCGTAAATTTGTGCTTATACTGCGTAAAGTTGCGCGTTCTCGCGCCTTTCTGCCCACGGACCGTGGTCTCTAACCGGGCCGGCGCGTGTCCGTCCCCCCACAGGTACCTGCTCTCTCTGGGCGCAGACCCCCAGCTGGAGAACGACTGCGGGGAGAAGCCCGCGGACCTCATCGACCCGGAGAGCCGCGAACTGCTGGAGCTGTTCGGGCTCCGGGCCGCCGACTGAGCCCCCCCCCGGCCCCGGAGCCTCGAGCTCAGCCAAAGACCACCGGACCCCCCCCCCGCCCCCGGGGCGGGGGGGGGGGGGCACCAGCCCCGGATCCCGGGTTTGTGAGCGGGATCGTCCCTGGAGGTGAAGGACTGAGGGCGTGTGGGGGAAGGAGGGCTCTGGAGCCCCCCCCATCACCCCCCCTCCATCAGGACCCGGTCCAAAGACTCAGATCTTATCTTTTTCAGACTGTTTTTGTTCAGTTATGATGAAGCTGTGTGCTCCTGTTGCCGTTCAGTTATGAAGCCAGCAGCTTTTTCATTTGTTTGACTTTTTTTTTTGTTGCTTATATGACTTTTTATACTTATTTAAATAAAGGAAATAAATGTTTCCTCGTGTCCTTTGAATTCTTCCTACGTGGAACCACTTCTGCGAAGGTGAAAAGAGGAAATATTTCTCTCGCATGACTCAAAATGTGCACATATGTCCATAAATAACTATGATTACATTTAGAGACTCTCTTAGTGAAAAGGGACAACAATCAGGCCGAGGAAAGATCCAGATTTTTTAAAATAGTTTTATTCTCAAATATTCTTTCAACATGTTTTCAGCAGCAATTTTCAAACAAAACGGGATCCAGATCAGGTCCTTCTGAGATCAGCTGCTGGAAAAAATACCCCCCAAAACTCCTTTTCATCCATCCATCTATTCATCATTCATTCATCATCCATCCATCCATCCATGGCTTCCTGTTTATCTAGGGTCCGGTCTCCAGGCAGCCAGACTTCTCTTTCCACAGCTCCTCCCTTCAGCTCCTCTGGGGGGTTCCCAGTTCCCATCCAGAGGGGGTTCATTTCCCAGTTCGTAAATCCACTGTGAAGCGGGAAATTGCCGGAAAATGAGCCTGAAAAATCACAGTCAGAAGGCCGGGCTGAGTCCCCAGAAGGATCCGGGTCACTCCTTGAACTTCCACTCCTGGCGGCACATGGGGCACTGCTGCTGGACCTGCTGCGAGTTCAGCCACTTCAGGATGCAGTGCATGTGGAAGCAGTGGGAGCACTGGCCCCAGACCAGCGGGCAGTCGTCCCCGGGAACCTTACCTGGAAGGAGGAGAGCCGAGGATAAAGCCTCTCAGACGAGAAAATAAAAACACTCAGACTAACCTGCTGTCTTTCAGGGTGGAAAAGTTACAGGAAGCAAAGCTGAGGTTGTATTTATATTCTTATTCTTTGCTTATTTTTGCTTAATTTTGCTCTCGGTGTGCCACTATTTTGCCCTGTAAGCTGCTGGTAACTTTAATTTCCTGAGGGAGTCTTCCCAAGGGATCAATAAAGTACAAGTCTAAGTCTAAGTCTAGTTTTAAATGACTTTATAACCTTTTAACGTATGAGCAGCAGCTGCCCCTGTCAGATCGTTCTGGTGTCTTTCCTCCTTGCCGTTGTGTTGACACACACCTGAATACTGCAGAGCATCAAACCTCTGCATTTAGGGAGGATTTCCATTCAGGGAGGATGAGTATTATTGATCTGCAGCTCCTGGATGCTGCTTCATCCTTCGTTTCAAACATTTCTCTGCATAGTGGATTAGTTTCTGATCAAATATGTAAAGAAACTATGACAAATGTTCGTTCTCCTCACTAAACCCAGACTGCCTTAACTTGATGGCATTCAGCATAGAAGAACATCCTACAAGAAGCTAACAAAGTGCCTCGATGTGTGCTATTTTAGATCACATTTACAGACGTTTGAACGTGAATCTGGAAACCGGGTTAGCTTCACTACTCACAGTCCGGACAGCAGCCATTAAAAGGCATCCTGCAAATCCCGCAGTTTTCATCGTTGGCCACCCAAAGCCAGGAGGCCACTCCGTTCCACTGCTTCACCTTCACCTTCATTTTCGGCGTCAGTTCGTAGATGAAAACCTTCTTGAGTTTCAGCAGCTAGCATAGGAGCTAACACTAAGCTAATGCTAACGCATAAGAGTCGGGACGTCTGACGCCTGTCACGTAAAAAAAATATCGGAAAACCAGTTTTTATTCAGCTATTGGCTAACAACAGAACTTTTAAAGCGTCCACGGAAACACTGAAATCAATAAGTTGTGAAATAGTTTGTCATAGATAAAAAAACAAACATCTGCCCGGTGAAGTTTTAAGCCCGGGTAACGAGCTTCTTCTTCTTCTGTTCAATTTCAGGCAGATTACAGATGGGATAGAAAACACTGCCCCAAAGGCCACGGGTGGTAAAACAGGTGAATCGGCTAAAAAGAAAACAGGAAAGACTGGAAAAGATGTTAAGGCCAAAAGGAAATTACAATTAAGATGCATCCACATACCTCTTCTGAGATAGACAAAAAAAATATTATTTTGGATTAAAATATTTGCATTCATAATGTATCATGATAATAACGACAAAATAATAACAACGATAACATTGTAATTAATATTAAATGATTTAATAAAATAGTAGACCACGACCTTGAACAAATTAATTAGTTCTTATTTATAACCTAAAACCGACATATCTGTCCTAAGGTAGTGTTTCCTTCATAGGGGTTTCTGTGAGGTTTGGTGTTGATATTTTCTAGCTGTGTTTTAAATGACCATTAAATAACAGGTCATGTGTCAGGATGATAATTCATGTCAGTGAATTGACGTGACCAAGAAACATTCTGGACCTCAATCTGAAGTCAAATCAAAGTTGAAATGGGCATTAACACCCTCATCCTGTGCTTGGACAGATGAAGAGGAGTCATATTTCCCTTTATTCTATTATTTTTTTCTGAATCCATATTTACAAATCTTCTTAATTCATCGAAATGACAACGGTTTGATTTTTAAATAATGTTTGAATAGTTATTTCAGGCTGTTGACTGAATCGTGGTGTAGTTTGGCCTCCGTCCGCCAGGGGGCGGAAGATCGAATCTCCTCTTCCGGTTTGCTTCCGGTTGGCCAGCGAAGCTCCCGGGTTCAGGTGCAGTTTGGCTACGGATACACGTTAACTTCCACGGACACCTCACGTTTGGAGGTATCGACTTACTTGGCCGGGGTTTGTGCATTTAACTTTTTAAATTACTCTCCAGGATCCTTCCCGCTTCATGAACCCAGGGCCTTCCCACGGAAAAGGTGATTTAATGAGATGTTGTCGGTTTGCTGAGTAGTTAGCTCATAAACAGCCCCTAGCTAGTCTCCGTTGCCACCGCAACGCGTGCATCTGCAAAAAACTCATAAATAAAGTAGATAGATTCTGATGAACATGTTTAACCGGCTTTGTTTCTCGTTAAAGTTAAGCAGCCTGACAGTTTTAGCTAGCCTACAGTTGGCCTGTTAGCAGGCGTAAACAGCCAGGTCAAAGAAGAAGAAGATTCCTAATTATCTTTCTAAACAGTCTTAAAGGCACTGAACCTGGTTATATTACCCCTTAATTGAATTTAGGGTCGGAATTATAATTGTGAAGACTCAGACCTGCCGTTTAAGATCCAATTTGAGACCACTGGCTTATGTAAGTGTTGTTTTAAAGCATGTCTTAGTCTTCCTTTGGCTTTCTGGGTCACTGTTTTTCTGACATTTCTGTAGTCATTTTACAGTTAAGTGCTCCCTTTAAGCTGATGTTACTATGATGTGCTGTGGAGGTTCCACACACATTAGGTTTTTGTGCTATTTTATGTTCTTTGATGAGCTCTGGACTTATTTCATGTCTTTGCAGGGCCAGAAGAACCTGGAAGCAGTCTGCCATGGTGCCCTGAGGTTGGTACCAAGAGCTTCTAAACACAAATTCATCTCCCTTTTTGCATCTTCTCCTTTATGGTTAAGACAGCCAAGCCTTCAGGACAGTATTGTGAATATAACATTGAAAGAAATAGACTAACTAACTATATTATTACTATTAACTATAGATTCCTAAACTCATTGGCTGTCAAAGATGTCTGTAGACGTTTTTTATGTTTTCCAGCGAGAGTGGCTGGGGGACGATCTGCTAAAGCTTGTCCGTAAATATGGGCTTCTAGACAGAGTATGTAGTAACAAATTGACCCTCTAGGTGGCAGTGCCACTTTTGATGGGAGATGAGCATAGACTGTAGGCAAATAAGAAAAAGGGAACGGTTCTATGAGAGAACATGTCGCCGGTGAGACGAAGAACGGAATAAGGTAGAAACAATTTTGTTTTCCTGATGAAAGAAGAGAGTCTACTCTTTCTTTTGGTGTGTTCGGTGTTTACATAGTCATAGCACAAACTATTCTGTGGATCTTGAAAAATCAGTCAAAATGCTCAAAAAACTCTGGCAGTATGGGACTCTGTTCTGAAAATGGCTGCCAGTCAATGAGTTAATCAGATACAAAGCCGAGGAGTATTAAGGTCTTTTACAAGAAATCAGTTTAGGGCACAAAGTTTGATATAAAGGACTATCTTTTCTGTGTCTGGCGGTTGATTTTACAGCCTGTTTTCCTCTTTTCAGCTGTGAGACGATGTACTCGAGGCACTCGGACTCCGGCCCCCGGCGGCCGTACGGCGACCGGAGCTCCCGGCAGTGGGAGGAGTTCCCCCCCCGCAGGGAGGAGAGGCACGACTCCCACAGGGACAGCCCCCGGGAGTCCTACCACCGCTCGGCGGGGGGGGCGGGCCGGGGCTCCCCCCAGAGGCCGTACGGCAAAGAGGCCAGAGACTGGAGCAGGAAGAGCCCCCCGAGGAGAAGGCCGTCCTCCCCGGCCCCCGACAGGGAGCGGAGGGGGGGGGGCGAGGACCCGGACTATAGATACAGACACGAGTCGGTAGAGAAGAACTACCGACCGCCCGCTGACCACAAAAGCAGGACCTTTAAGTACACGCCGCCTCAGGAGGACGGCTTCAGGTACCGGAGGAGCCCCCCAGAGGCCAGACCCCCCCGGAAGGAGTTTGCTTACAGGAGCCGGCAGGACGACGGGGGGGCGAGGGGCTTCTGTGGTTCCTACGGAGACGGAGAGGAGCGGGAACGCAGCCGGGGTCACTCCCAGGACCGGCCGGGGTCACCGTACCACTCCCCACAGGTCAGAAAAACTCCTCCAAATGCTCCAGAGTACACCGAGATGTTTCCAATCATTGCTCGTAGTTCAAACTGCACCAAATCGTAGGGGTCGAAGGTCACAATTCACTCACGATTTCTGTTCTCACTATACGACCCGATATGAGATCTGAACTCACATCGTACGGCCAAAAACGCACGTCGGACTTGAAATAGAAGATATTTCTAAGATATAATAGAAGATCCTCTAAAGCCGGCGTACACCAGGGACGTCCCGATCCCGGCCAATCAAAGTTAAAGTTTAAAGTTATTTATCTACTTACTTAGTTGTCAGACTCATGTTGAACAGGGATTTACTCTGATAACAACTTAATGGTTAGGACACAGACCTGTGGGTTACAGATGCTAACGCTAATGCTAATGCTGGTGTGGGATTGGAAGTAAAAAAAAATAAATTAAAAAAAAGAATTTTCCTTCCTTTGGCTTTTTGATTCCATTCCCTCCTTGGACTCCTCAGCCTCTGTAAGAGTTGTGTTTCCCCCTGGAAAAGATGTGTTCCTGAAGGCAGCGCAGGTTGCTGTACAGTCTCAGAGGAGGCTCTTCCTGTTCCACCTCCCAAATCAAAGATCTGGGTCCTGGGTGTTCAGAGACCCGAGACCCGGACCTGGCCTCCCAAAGGCTTCGTCCTGCTCAGAAAAGTCTGAATGCAACTCAGTTTTCTGGTGTTTTACGCTCAGGAATGTCACCAGATCTCTGCGTTTAAGAGGGAGGATTTTATCTTTATACGTTTCTTCTGCTGCTCGCCACACGTCCTGACCCAGAAAAACTCCCTCTGAAGGAGATTTTAGACCCCAAAATACATTCCTGTGTGGCTAAAAGTGCCTGTTTGTCTCTGTAAACCCCTCCTGAGTAACGGTGTTTCTGCCTGTGCAGCAGATCTATGAGACGGCCAGAGAGTGGACGGACGGCCCTCCGGCCGCCGGCCTCCAGGAGGACGTCCACCAGCACGCCACCGGCCTCCAGAATGGGTCCAGCGGAGCGGTGAGGCCCCCCTCCCCCCCCCCCCCGTTTGGGCCCTCTGGCTCCGGTTTGGGACCGGAGGTGTTAGCGTCCAGACACTGAGCCAAAAGCTTTAGCGTCTTCATTTCTTTATTATTCTTTATTTCTGCTTCATGCTGTTGGAATTCAATCAATCAATCAATCAATCAATCAATGTTTATTTATATAGCACTTTACAACAACCGGAGCTGATGAATTGTCACTTTAAATAATCGCTCACTCCTTTAGTTGTTTATTTTCACTTTGTATCACAGCAGTTTACCATAATGTTTCTGTTTCTGCATTTAGACGCTTTTTATCCAAAGCGACTTACAAAGTAGACCCAGAGTTCCAGCTCTCATCCGTCTGACTATCAGTTCTCTGGAGGAAAACCCCCAGTCAGAGTCAGAGGAGACAGGGGGAGAGAGAGGGAAGCCCAGAAAGAGGAGTAGAGGGCCCAGAGGTCTGGAGGAGTCAGGATAGGAGCTGCTCTGCGGAGAGTAGGCTGGTACTGATCCGATATCTGGATCGGATCGGTCGGCAGGAGAAAATGCAGATCCAGACTCCAGATCCAGTAAAAAAAAAAAAAGTTAGGTGTTTTCAAGCGCTCTGATTACCATAATCCATTCCACTTTGCTGTGTTGGTCCCTGATATCCGGTCCGGTCATTTTCCAGCAAAGCCTTAAGCATTAGCATTAGCATTAGCATCTATAACTCACAGGTCTGTGTCCTAACCATTAAGTTGTTATCAGAGTAAATCCCTGTTCAACATGAGTCTGACAACTAAGTAAGTAGATAAATAACTTTAAACTTTAACACATGCTCTGATTGGCCGGGATCGGATCCCTGGTAGAGAGGGGGGGGGTCTGTAGGAGTTTCTGAGGACAGACAGGGAGGGGCTGGTAGCTCCGTCCGCCATCTTGGAACAGCACATTTAAAAAGAAAGCTTTTTGAATCTTGCATCTTTGAATCTTGCCCCCTCCCTGAGTCTGCATCTCTGACGTCTTCTTCTCTGTTTTCCCCTCAGCGCCCCCCCGCCGGCGCTGAGCCTCCGTCCTCCAAAGGCTTCCAGCGCTTCCTGGACGTGCTCAACAAGGGCGTGAACGTGGACGTCCTCACGCAGATCGTGACCCAGGCCGCGCCCCCCCTGTCCGACCATCAGGCCCCGCCCCCGGCCGCCGCCCCCGACAGGCCCCGCCCCCCCGCCCTGGC